ATGCTATGTTGGTCCTAGTACAAGATCTCCACCAACCAACCACAACAAAAAAATTTTATGAAATAAAACCATTATTATATTTTTATTATATTTTTTACTGCATAGCTGTTTAAAGTTGTTATTAAAATGCTGCTGCAAACACTGTGTCGGTTTGATGTGTATGTGTGAGTGTGTGTGGCCTTGTTTTCCTACATTGTGGGGACAATTTTCCTTAAAAGCAGCCTTGTGGGGCCCAATGCCTAGTTCCCAAGGGTCCAAATGCAAATTACAGGTGGGGGTTAGGTTTAGGACCAAGGTGTGAATTGAGTTTAGGTTAGTTTTAGGGTCAGGGTAACCTGTGAGGTTAAATTTAGGGTAAATGGTCAGGGTTAGGATATAAAATTTCCAAAAAATGAATGGAAGTCAATGCACGGTCCCCACAGGGATATACAAACCATATCTCTGTGTGTGTGTGTGTGTGTATACTTGTTTCTACAACAGAGTGAGGACCATTTGCGCCATAGTTACTCTCAAAGTGAGGTCTTTGATGTAAAGTGAGGACCTCTTCAATGTCCTCACTTTGTTTGCAGCTCTGCTGGGCTTTACTAGTTAGGTTTAGAGGTCTGGTGTGAATTAAGTTTAGGTTCAGGTTAGGGTTAACTATAGACCAGTAATGGTAAGTTTTAGGCAAAATGTCTTAGGCATAAATACAGTTTCAAAAATGAATGGAAGTCAATGCAATGTCCTCATTTTGATGTAAATACAAGGGTGTGTGTGTGTGTGTGTGTGTGTGTGTGTGTGTGTGTGTGTGTGTGTGTGTGTGTGTGTGATGACAGACGAAATGGTCCTTACCAGCTCGACCCCAGCCACTGGTTCTGGAATTCCACCTATCAGACCGATCCATCGGACAACCCCAAAAAGAGGCGGGTCGTTTACTTCCACCATCGAGCCCACCTCCAGCTCACTGCCCAGTCCTGTCTCTCCATYCTCCTCTGCGCTCTCACCGTTTTCTCGAGTTCTCAGAGGTGAGGGAGGGCTGTGGATGCCGTTTGTGTGCTCGGGAGATGCTGCCGCCGAAGGGCTTCGGGGTTTCGGAGGCGGTAACGGGGGAACGGATGGGACTTTGTTGGCGGGTTTTGGTGGAGGCAGAGGAGGAGGTTTGAGAGCTGCTTTGCCAGGAGGTATCAGAGCGCTCTTAGGAGCAGCAGTAGATGGTGAGGATGTGGTTGGTTTAGGGATGGGGGGCAATGCTGGCTTTAAGATGGACTTTGGGCCTTGCTGAAGAGGGTTGTGATTCAAAGTTTTATCCTCTGGGGACACAGAAATAAAACTAYGTAAAGCTCAAAATCTTTTTTAATAAGAGAAAAATCTTTTTATTTGCAAACCCAGCAGCTGGACCTGTATTCTGTTAAAGACYTTTAGTTTACCATGTGGAACTGAAGCTTTAAAAAAAGGACCTGTGACATATTCTTCAAATACAAAAAGTCAAAGAAAACATTTTTATATTTAAGAAACTTGGCATAAAACACACGGTTTTTACAGATTTTGTCAAATAACTGGCCTATTTTCTTTTGAACTTGTCTCAGCCAAAGTGAAACGGGAAGTCACGTCAAAGGGTAACTTCAACAAAGAACTTTGTTTATTGAAACAATCTTATTTGAACTCTGACTCTTCATCTTTCTGACAGTGACTCAAAATAATCTAAAGAAACATCAGATTCTTCTCTACAGTCAGTGTTGTCTGCTGTTGTAGTAATGCTTTGTTTATATGCGGACATTCCCCTTTGACATCGCTTCCTGTTTCTTAACATGCAAATATCTCAACAAGTGTTCATCTTAGCGTAAAATCTTCTTTGCAGTATGATTTCAGTCTCATCTTTCTAAAAATGCATTTGTATTTATTACAAAAATATGATGTCACAGGAACTTTAAACCTACGTCTTTCAGACTTTAAATGTAAAAGTTACCTAGATGGGAAGTGACAGATGATCTTTACACACAGAATAGAAGTCCAGTTACTTTGTTTTCAATATATAAGCAACCAGTGTGTTTTGGATGACTAAGAACCARCATCTTTACTGTTCTATCATTTTCGGTGAGAAATCTGTAGCCGTACCTAGAGAAACCTTGCTGGCTGGCAGGAGTTGTCCATACAGTTGAGAAGGAATATGACAGAGTTTCTGGTCATTGTAGACTCCATCCCAGTTACCATCAGGAGTGTCCTGTAATGTCAACAAAAACACAACAATCAAACACAAACAGAAGGAGGAACAAACTCATTTTTTGCTTTATAAAAAAAAACTTTAACTGAACAACCTAAAAGCCTCTGTAAAGTGTACACACTACAGGATTTGATGACTCAAGCGACTTTATGCCTACGGCTCATACTGACCAGAAGGACTCCGACATACGTTCCCATTGAGGAGCGGCCAGGCAGGGGGCCACAGAAGCGCACCTCGCCTTTGCAGACGGTGTCCTCGTGGGGGAAACAAACCCGCTGGCCGATGTGGAACGGCAGAGGTGACGTGGGGCCTCGGACGTGGTTAGAAGGCATGATGGGTGCTGACTCAGTAGTTCGTGAGAGTATGGTGAGTGGCTGAGACGGGCTACTGTTGAGAGGCTGATGGATACTAACGTAACGTTTGAGTTGTTGTTGATGCTGCTGCAGCTGCTGGTGAAGTTGCTGCTGGATTTGTTGCTGGTGAATCTGTTGCTGCTGCTGCTGCTGTTGATTGAGATTATCATTGCTGCCACGGTGCTTACTGGTAGGGTGGCGGCTGCTGCGGTGTTTGTCACGATTGCGGAGCTTTACAGGTGAATTGGAGTTCCCGGTGTAGGACCGATKACGAACCTGTATGTGACTGAGAGGGACGAAGAGGCCACAGGCTTCAGGGCAATTAAAGTATTGGTACCCCTTATACGAGCCGTTGTTTGTTCCTTTGCCCGCCGCTGAACCCTGAACAACAGACGAAMACAAAGAAGATTAGACTTTAACAAATAAAATCATATGATTCAAACAATTCTTGTTTTATGGAAAAGAGTTGTATTCATTCAATTTTCAAGACTGATTTTAGGTTTGGGGCTAACAGCATTAATCTAAAAAACAAAAACAAAAAAACAAAACAAAACAGAAAAACCACCACAAAGAGAGAGAACAGCTTCAGCATTGATATTCCAGACTAAAACTTTATACTGTACATAAAAAAAACAGCATTCACACAAAGGTTTTCTTGTTTGGCATTCGAACGACAGTGATGAAACGCAAGGTCCAAACCTTTAGCTGGAATTCAGCTAGGCAGAGATTTGGTTCTTTCTTCAGAGGTTAGTTTTTTAGTWTTGCCATGTTCAAATAAACAGCTGGTTTTGAAGCAGAGAAAACTTTTTTTGACATGTATCTGTTCCACTGATCGTTGTATTCCTGGGCAAGACACTTCACATGACTTGCCTGCTGCTGGTGGTGGTCAGAGGGAACGTTGGCACCGAAGTTTGGCAGCCTCACAGCTGTAGCTTACCACCATCAGTGTRTGAATGGGTGAATGACAGTAGCWTGAAGTGCTTTGGAGTCCTTGGACTTGATAAGACACTATCTTACGTTCAGGCTATTTACCATCAGCAAATTATCATAAAGCTGCGTCAGTTGCTTCTATAGTAGCAGTGACAAGGGYCAGTCATCTAAGAGAGTATACCATGGGAAGACAGTCATTTTATTCATCAATCGTTACAGAATTACATGAACTCCACACCTACCAATCGACAGTGTTAGACTTTATCCAACACACCRTGTCATCTTGAACTCTGTCCTGAGGACTGGCATCAGACAGACTACAGGTTCATTGCTTCATGCATGGGCTACCATGAACACCAGACCAAAGATGATGGTTTGGTRTGGTGCCACAAGTGGGGGGGTATGGTCTAAAGACGAGTTGTATCATATTCAACACCAAGTCTTAGTTCTGAGAACCAATCCAGCCAWTGTTRTCCTGGCATCATGGTTTCCACAGGATATGGCCTCAGGCGACCACAGGTAGTATACTATGAAGTGCCTACATCCTCCTGTGGTCGGGTAATCTTTCCTCAATCGAATGTGTGGAATCAGCTCAGATATCAACACTGATCGTGGGCTAATCGGCTGGGTATCAAGGACCAACGAACAACTGTGGACCGACTCGCTGTAGAAGACGATGCGACTCTAGAACTCCTTTCAGCAATAAATTGCCACATTTATCTAGGGAAAACAAGTGTTATGCCCTAATAACATGGGACCAGTGTTGTGCCCATATTACCAACTCTGTTATCCATTTGATCTGTTTCTTTTCAACATGTGCCATGTCTACCACCCCAACTGTATACTTTTCTTGTCATCGAGTATATCTTTGTTGAACCTTACCTTTYGAGCAAGGAGTTGAGTGAACCTAAACAATGCCAGAAAAAATATTTTCCACAAAATGAAAGACATACAGAGTAGCTCAAACTGAAAAGAGGTCATTTTTGAAAATTCAGATCCTCTGAATAAAACATTTACCTTCAGTTCCACCCCAAACATCACAGCGCTGCTCCCTCTGCTCAGAGGCCCTTTAAACTTGAGCTCTGCTTCTGCCAGCTCATCCTGTTGGCCTATTTGGACCCACAGCTGGGTGCCGATTGGCAGAGACGCCAAATGTCGAAGGTTTTCTGGATTGTCTGAAAAAGGCACATCATTTAACAACATAAATAAACCATCATCTGTTTATTTTCAAATGGCTGGTTTGGTCCAATCTAAGTTGGCTTCCCCTTTTCACCATACAGGAAACAGCTCTGCTACTTTGATAATATTCCTTKACTCCCTCTGTGTTATACCACGACCCCATCGAGACATGCCGAACGTCTTACTTAGAAGGTTTAGTCGGACATCCAGATCCTGCACAGGTTCCACCAGGCTAATTAGGTCAGCTGAGACTTCCAGCAAGTACTTCTTCTCAATTTTTATCATGACTTCATTGTCTATCACCTGCAAAATTAAAAATAAAAACAGGAATTTTAAGATAAAACGTGTCACAAAAACAACAAAAACATGTCCATAACAGGACGGTTTCTGGAGGGTGCCTAAAACGTTCTGAGACCATGTTTATTCCTACGACTGACTTCATCTCTACAGTAAAACACTCAACCAGTTTTCCTACACTTTTTTTTTTTTAATTTGGTCATTTCAAATAGGTTCAAATATAAAAAGGCCCAATGGTAACACAGTACCTTGAGAGGATCCAGAGAAAAACCTGATTAACCAACCTCTAACCGGGGGTTGGGGACAAACTCAGTTACACTAGAGGGCTAAAATTAAAAACTCAGTCCAAGCAAAGGGTCAATTTGGTCAATATTWATTGGAAAAAACAGAAAAAACTGTGTTTTTAAAATGTCGAAGAGAGCAGCCATATTGTTCAGGGCAAGGACAACTCTACAGACACACTACTGTTAGTTGTAGAAGCTGGATGTTTAATTTAACTCAGCACATCAATGAAACACAGTTTGCTGTTGACAACCATTATTTTGACTTGATAGAAATGTTTGCCAGTACATATTATTATAATCAGACAAGGTACACACAGCTGCAATGAATGATGTTTCAAATAGGCAGAAGCTAACCAGTGGAAAACTAACATTAATGCAATCTTACGCAAAAATCCAGCCATGATAAACAGACTGCTTTCATGTGACATCACAACGCAGTACAGTGAGAGTGTGAAATGCAGACGGAGGGGAGAAAGTGAAGTAGTCTGAATTTTTTTGCCATTTTTGTGTAGTTTAAGGCTGCTCAAATTGTCCCAACTTAGAAAAGGGGTATTACTGAGTACCAAAGATTGTCATACATGAAGGTGAGGAATGTAGGCTGTTTATATAGCATTAACACTTGATCACTGAGAACGTTTTATCTTGAAACATAACGTTGTTATGTGTCGTTAGGTGTTAATGTTTGTTGATGTTGTAGCCGCTACTGCTAGCCTCTTGTAAAACAATATCAGAAAAAGCACCCTGGCAAAACCAAAGCATCGTGGTTCCACTTGCTGACAAAAATGTTCTACGCTCCAGCCTTTTATAGACTTTCTGCTGTTTGGTGTAGTAAGACGTCTGAAGGACCAGATAGTCTGTGATATCAACAGCCTCGATTGGCAGCAAATCTTTAGGTTCTGTCAAAGTAGAGCTGGGCAATATGGCCCAAATTAGATTTTAATCGATTTTGTTTCCCACTTAAAAGGAGTGCCTCTGTTTCAGGTGTTGAAACAAATATTTTGTACTCCTGCTTTTCGTAGCAAGAGTCTTCAAACAGATTTTGCAGTGAGGTGATTGTTGCTCCAGGTCCGAGGTTGCGAAACCTAACCAGTTCCAGAAAACTGAAGAAACAAGTGTCTTTTTTTGGGAAGTAGATCCTCTTTGCTAGCTGCCAYATTGTCATGTTGTGTACCAAGCGTCTTGAGGGACAGGTGGGCTGACCTCTGAACTACAGAAGCCCAAAGAGTGTATTGGTGGAAAAAAAAAATCAAGATTTTCCCAAAATTAGATCTTTATAAATGGCAAATTCGAATTAATAGATTAAATCGATTTATCACCCAACACTATGTCAAACTCATTCATCTTCATGAGATATGGGTCACGTCCAACATATATGTGAACTAAGATATMATTGTCTTGAAACCAAATCTAGATCTGTACAATACAGACCCTCTACAACAGATTCCTCCATAGACATTTTACTTCCTGCCCTCTATTTGAAATTGCGGACCATGCAAACCACGTGAATGAAACCCAGCTTGTTTACATCGACAGCCCGCCCCCTCCGACATGGAGTTGCACTCGTACCACAGTGGTCAATCTTCTGAAGCGTGGGTGATGACACCTCATTAGTATMGACTAACTTCAACCTGGACTGACACTTTCAACTGCCTCCTTGAGAAAGGTTTTATGGTGGACAAGRTATTTCACATGCTGCATACATAGAGGCGGTAGCATCATGTACTAGAAGAATAAAAATCAGTTCAGCTCCAATTTCATGTCAAGTCAACAATTTGATGGTTAAAACTTTGGACACTTATGAGTGGTCCAACAGGACAGTCACCAGAACTGGTCATACAACTTCCCCAAACCTATTAAAAAAATGTGTGGACTTTGCTTAAAAGCTGGATATGAACCAGGAAATCAACAAAATCTGCCTAGGTGTAAACTGTGAGGCATTTAAATAAATATTAGTGTTTGATTTTGACCCTGTGTTGTAGTGATGGTGGTCAGAGGGTCYGGTGGCGCCTGTGGCAGCCTCCTCTCTGTCAGTGTGCCCCAGGGCAGCTGTGGCTACAATGTAGCTTACCATCATCAGTGTGCGAATGTGAGTGAATGGGTGAATGTCTGTAAGTGTRAAGCGCTTTGAGTGTCCTGGATGGATAGAAAGGCACTATAAGTACAGTCCATTTACATTTAGTGATGACCCACAGTGCTCCAAAGGAGTGAGCTTAAAGAGAAACAGGTAAAATGTCACTTTCCATGGGATCATTTTGGACTTTAAAGTGTCTGCTGCTACCTTAACCCAGAGGTGGTCCCCTCTGCTCTTCCCAGCCTCTTGTTCCTGGCAGATGAAGCCCCGCAGCAGGAGGATGTTTCCTTCCAGCTCATCCTGGACCCGCAGGTCGGTCGAGATGACGAAGGTTTTAAAGGGCCGACGCTTCCTGCCCAGCTCGTGAGCTCCTGACATCTTTGAGGGCTTTGAACCCGCGGCTGCTTCTCGGTGGAGTTAGGTTCCTCTGACCCAGACAAGTAAAACACGTTTTTAAACGGAAAGAAGCGACAGGAGGGCTTCAGTGTTTACTTCCGTTCACCTGTCCTGGGGGTCTGACAGCCGGTATGGACAGAGACGTAACATTAAACTTCAGCTGAAACGGGTTAAAAACAGCTAAAAACAACACTACGACACGTCCTTAAGCAACAAACCACGCAGCTAACTCGGAAACGTGACTGTACGACGTTTAGGAAAACAACTCACCAACTTCTTCAACTCCGACCATCACGCTCGAACTTAGGAGCTCCGATCAACAACAAATCGCACCGTGAAGCAGGAAGCGGTTTGACTGACAGGGCGCTCCACCAATWGCGTGCGAGCATTGAATTGAAGGAGGAGCCTGAGCCAATCAGAACACCTGTGGGCGTCATCGGTACGGGGAAATTCCACTGTTCGTGCGTTTAGGAAACCAAACAAACACCAGCGAACTTACTTTTTTTAATTGCTTTATAAATAGGAATAGAAAAAAAATCCATTTAAGATTTTCTTCAGTCCACATTTCTTATCAGACTTCATAAAAATACAGTACAGATAAGGAGAACCTGATTAACATGCATTTTCCTAAATAAACATTAAAAAGTGCATTGTCAAGTTTTCATGGCATCACTTGCATGAAGGGTTTCAGTTGAATAAATTTCAATCACAACCACATTTCCCAGCAACATGGTCACAGTGATTCAACTTTTATCGCCAGTCAAACAAAAGGGGATTTTTTTTTGCCAATTTGAATTATTTTAAACTGACCAAAACATTTATCAAAATAAATTCTCCATTTTTTTCACCTTGTAGGTTTATTTTATCACTCATTTGTGGATAAAGCAAATATCAAAATATATATGAACAAAAGTATTTTTAAGCGGAGTCTTTCCCCCACGTAACCATTGTAAMTGAAAAGACAAAAAGTGTGTTTTTTCCCCCTCATTTGAACAGGTTATAAAATGTCTGGAATGAAAAACATCTTTGACATTTTTCCTCATTATGAATAACGTGTACTTTTGTTGTGCATCTATAGAAGCTGAAGCTATATTTTAACAGCTTTTTTTTTCTTCACCTGGGAATACATAAAAACATAAATGACTCACGTTAGACACAGTAGGCTTTGCTTTCCGACAGTTACATTTCTTCTATAAAAAGTAGTGTTTTTGTAAAATAAAACTACTTCTCTTTAATGATTTGACTTTGTGTTGGAACTGGACAGTGTATACATTTCAGCCATGGTTAAATTTATTTCAAGAACTATTTAAAAACAGCTTATTCTAGAGTAGATAGTAGCATGATGACTGTGCAGTTCATGAGTCAGTGGTTTCTTGTAGTTTCATGCGTAGTGTAGGGACTGTTTTCAGTGTCTCGTCTGAGACAACAAMGGTGACGTCTTTGAAGACGAATGAGCAACATGTTGTTTGTCTCAAAGGACTGAGTCAGTGGAGGTGTCTGTAAACACTCCCGGGCCTGGCTGAACACGCAGCGGCGCTTTAAGTCCTYGCCACCGATGAGTGACTGAACCAGAATGAGTCTCGTAGCTTCGTCTGGTTTTGTTCCAACTCGGGATCAGGTCTTTCACGGCAGCTCGACTCRGACCAGAACTGAGGAGACGACTAGTCGGTGTTAACGTAGTAGGTGGTGAGCTGCCCTTTGCCCTTCACGCTGATCTTTCCTCGGAGCGTAACTTCGTATCCYACGCTTTGGACGATTTGGGCTGTTTCCTCCGTCACCTGAGAGCCCGGYCGAACAATAAAAACAGGAGAAACAGATATTTTCAGTCAGTCCTACCCTCTTTTATCTGTGGTTTTCTGTTTCAAACAGAGCACAGCTACTCGAGACAGACTTTCAAACCTTCCACCTCTCATCTTTTTTCTCAGTTATCGCCTGAGGTGTAAAAAAATAAAAAACAGAATGAAAACAAATCTGACTGTAGAGTAAAGCTGCAGTTTTCTTATGCAAAAAAATAYACATTTTTAGCTTGAAATAGCCAAAAGTAAAACCTGTACAAAAATATCACCGTAATAAATGTGAAATAATTTAGATTGGCATTTTTTAAAATCATTTCCAACCTGTATTTTGTCCAGCTCTCCTGTGCTGTCCATCCTGCTGGCAACATTAACTGTGTTCCCCCAGATATCATACTGAGGTTTACGGGCTCCAATAACTCCTGCAATCACTGGGCCGTGATTAATTCCTGCAGGGAGACAATGAGGAGCAATTACTCAATGCTTGCATATGTGGAGATCCAATGGAATAACACATTACCTTGGTTTAATAATGWTAACCTCTTAACCCTTGTATTAGGTTGAGAAAAAAATACATTTATTATGTTACGGGTCATTTTGACCAGTGTTGAGTAAATTCACTCAAAACAGTCGAAAATGAAATTAAACAAAAAAAGGACTTTATTTTAGAGTATTTAGGTCTTCCTTGCATCTTCAGAATCTCACTGGGAAGTTCTGGCTCATTTTTTCTGCCTGTTCCCAACAGCTTTCTCTCCTGAAGTTCATCTCCAAGACGGTAGGATGTAAAGAAGTTGTCACATGTGATGTTGTAACCTTGCAGTCCTTCAGTCATCTCTAATACTACGCATACTCTGATTTTCCTCAGGTGCTCCTCCGGGTGGCTTTCCAGTATAAACTTGCAGGTTCTACACATAACTGGATTTTGCATCACAGACTGCCTAAAATTTTTTATGCCATATTTTGCACGGTTGTTTGGCATGTACTGTCGGAATGGACAGCATCTTCTCAATGGAATGAGGCACTCATCGACAGTAACATGGGGGCCAGGATTATACAATAAAAGCAGGATTTTGACCCATTTATCCCAGACATCTCTGATTGCTCCAAGTTTGTCTTTCTCTTGTTGACAAGTCAAGTCAGTTGGATCCAGTGGCTTCCATTTTTCTTGAAAGATACTCCTCTCCTCCAAATTGGTCGTGTCAAGAATTATCTTCTCTATGAGTTGGGAAAGAAATAAGTGAAATACTGATTCAATATCATCAACTCTTGTGACAGCAAATCTTGTTGGATCAAGAGTCATTTTGATGACATTAGAAGATGACTATCTGCCTTAGCATTGGTGTGGTGATGTTGAACACTTTAGATGTCCATGTCACCTCTGGATGACGATCGTTGTGTTTCTTGGTTTTCAACTGATGAAGGCACACCGGCAAACTCATCCTCTGAATTCTCCTCATCATGGGAAAATTGATAACCTGGATCATCAATAGCATTGTCCTCTGGYTCTGAAAGAYCCTCCATCTCTGAAATATTTTTATCTACATCACTATCCAAGTTCATAAGCTGCGATACAGYTTCTTCAACTGTAAATCGTCTGGAGCTCATTTTTGGTGCATTTCTCAAAGAAAGGGAACGGACGCAGTGACAAGGACAGGGGAAATAAAGTCCCTCCTCCACACACACCTGGTTCTGAATGGGTATTCAAAGGCAATCAAAATAAAGTATATCAAAGAGACATGTTTAYTTTGGATTTAACMAGCAACTTTGAGTCTGGGTCAAAATGACCTGCAACATCATCTTTGCATACAAACTCTGTGCAGACACTCMMWRACACATCAACGTGTTCAGATTTTACACAGCAGTTCATGACCCTAGATGGGGAAAAGTCATAAAATTTCATGGGAAATAGGTAAGGATAACCTGCATTTTGGTCGACACAAAAACTGAAATGGGTCAAATTGACCCGAAACATAATACAAGGCTTAAGCCCCAAGAGTTTTTCTTGATGTGTTTGCTCAAAAAAACATGCTGAAATGTAATCGAGTATCTCAGCATTTACAAACTCTACTTAAATAATCTTGGTATCAAAATAAAGCTAACAGAGATTTCATCAGAATGTAAGTATTAAARCAGCTGCTGTGGTTTTAGAGATATTGAGGATGGAACATAATTAAAAAAATTTTTCACTCTCACCTGAATAATTTTTTCATTAGACAGTATATACTGTAACCTATTTAAAACCATAATAAATCAGGCTATGAACTCTTGGAAACCATAAATCCACTTGTGGACATCACCTGTGCAAAGGTTCATGCTGCTAAAATGAACTGGAGCAAAGTGACAGAGGTTTTAGTAAAGAAATAATTTTGCATTTTGTCATTCTGCACAGTATGGATCATGTAGGTATCATTAATAAATGTTAAAAAATTTGAAGTTTTTACATACAAAAGTTGTTTATTTTTTCTTACCTGCCTGAAAAGACTTGTTATTGAATTTGCTCTTTTGAAAAAATATCCAAACATTTATTTGTCAACATAAATATTATATACAATAANAATAATGAGAAATTATATTTGACTTCAGTTGGATCATATTAAATCAAAATCAAGTATAAAAAAAACTTTAAACACACTTTAGGCTACAACATTTTTAGGTATCTACTTTGACTTGCTTTAAAAAAAATAATGTCAAWTTTTTTTCCTTTACAGATTTGTTGTAACGTATTTACAGATTTACAACAATCCTATTTTGTACAGTTTGATTACTTTCTGATTCAACAGTCATTTGAACTGTGTTTAATGAATGTAAAAAYAGTTTTCATGGGCTTTTAGCCAGGATCCTTAGCTCTCTATTGATACCAAACATGTCCAGGTTCAACTTACAGATCTTAGGTTAATAGAAGTTAAAAGAAATGGAAAACGGAAAAAGCAGTTTTGCCCCCAGTACTGGGGACATGGGGCTCAAGCGGTTAAACTAATYATAGACATTTTTAGGAGGAAACAAACAAAAGTGTTCGTCACTTGGTTGTTCTTTGTTCATGGTGTTTGTTAAATTTTAAAAAAATTACAAGTGGTAGATTTTGTGATATTTTAGGGTGATCAGATGTGCATTATTTCTGGGGACAGTCCCTGTTTTGGATGAAGAAAAGTCCTTGATTTTAACGTGTCATTAATGAGAAAAGAGAATTATTATGGTAGTCAGGTAGAGTTATGATGCTTTTAAATCCTTCTTTTACACATTTAAATCTTTCAGTTTTGTCTATATAAAGTGGAACTGCAATGATTTGGTCTGAATTCCTCCTTATTGTAACTCCACAAGCCCCTCTCTCACCTTTTTYCTGAGGTGTGTCTCAGATCAACTCGTTTTAAGGCTGTCTCTTCAAATCCAATCGAGGAACCGTAAAATCCCCGTTTGATAGTGTGGGTTAAGGTTATAGTGGCGCAGAAACTTTTTTTATTTACAAATAGATTAAAAGTACAGTCCCAAATACTGTGACATAATAGGTCAGAAAACATCATAGAAAATAGAAAAAAACTGAACAAGTTGAAAAATATGACCCAAACTGAATATAAAGATATAAGAGAATAAATTCAACTTCTCTGACCTCCTACAGAAGTGTACAACATGTATTTAACAGCTAAAAAAGGGTATTTTGCATGACATCCTTTAAGTGAGCATGTTGTGTGCCACAATTAGTTTTGCTCTCTGAGCTGAAAATATCCCCGGATTTACKTTTGGAAATCTGGTCACCCTATGATATTTAATAAAAGGATTACAGTAGCTGTCTGTTTCAGTGCTTATCTTCTCAGGCTCAGCCTCAAACAAACTCACCAATCCTGAATTTGAAGTTGTTAAAGGAGTGCGAGTTGATCTGCTCCAGTTTGACTCTCATGGCGATGGCAAACTCCAGCATGCAGCGCACGTGGCTGTAGGTCATGTCCACGTCCTGTAGGGGGCGCCAGGTTCATACAAGTCAGTGGACTCGTCAGGCTTGGGAGAACAGAACCTCTGTTTTTATCATCTCACAATTTATTTAATATCTTCAAAATTCTGTGTCCGAGTCTGGAGTCAGCAGCAGAACAGTGGTTTATTTCTAATCTGCCCTACAAAATTAAAACCTCACTCAAAWSACGACTTCTGTAACACGTTTTAGGCGAACAAACCTTTTTGTCTTCTCCTTCGGGCAAGTGTGCCAGCCCTACGGCAGCCATGTAGGTGCTGCCGATCGTCTTAATCTTCTCTACTAAGGAAAACTTGGGCTTCATCAGAAGCTGTGCGGAGGAAAAAACAAAWACAAACAAACAAAGAACAGAAGAGAGATGAAATGAGGTTTTATCCTGAGGCAGACGAGTTCAAATAGTATTTTCTCCGTTGTACCTCGTCAAAGTCTACGATCATTTCATTGAGGAGACGCAAACACTCCAGACCGTCTCCGTTCTCGTTGCTCTCGGTGTAAAAGTCTTTGAACTGAGGGATGGAGGCAAACATCACGCACACACACTCGTAGGACTGACTGTACAGATGCTGRAACACAGGAAGACAGCAAATTATATAAAGGGACATGAGCCGTTTTAAAGAGGGTTCAGAGGAGCCGCCGTGGACAATAAATATCTTACTTGTTGTAGATGACTCTTTGAACGTCAGTTTGGAGAAATGGAGTTTAATTTTGATTAAAGAGCTAACAGCTAATTTTACCTGGAATAGCAGGCAGCATCTTAATCTATGATTAAAAAAAATATAAAACAAATTAATAACAGTAATTTTTTAAACTTTGATACTGCTGTCAGTTTTGCATTTTCTGTTTATTTCAGCAGAAATATTAAGGTGTTCCTCCTGGAGGTGCCTCAGGCTGGACTAAAAGTGTCGTCTTTTGTTGCTGATGCCTTTATTTGTTCTTCCAAATGACCACAGAATTCTACAGAAATAACCTCAAAATGATAAACGGATACAGGTGTCAAAAATTTTTAGACTTCTATAGATGTTTTGGACTTGCGACAGGGCGTACTCCGCTTCTCGCACAGTGACTGCAGGACATGGTGACCAGTGACCCCCGCGACGAGGTGTAGCAGGCCCAGATTAAACCCGGGTATAGTTTGAGTGTGCCCAGGGGGATTAACTGTTCTAGGCCAGACTATATACCATCAGGCCAGAATATACCTATCTAACCCAGTAGTCAGTCTCAAACATTAATTAACATGTATCAGCAGAGTCGCGTGAATTGGCTGAATTTTCTATTTTTATTATYCAGTCATGACAAATAGTTGCTATTTTTTGTGACAAACCGGGGATATTTACCCAGCTTAATTGAATTAAGGATTCAAAATGGCGGCCAAGGATATGTTTKTTTTTTTTATTTTCCGTATTTTACATATTACTTTTTATAATAGACATTAACACAGTTGAGTTTTTTAGGCTACCAGAAAAAAAGGGTTTCAAACCATTTCTGATATTTTAAAAGCCATTTTTATCACTTAAGCAGTCTGTTTTTAAAATGATTAAACTTTGACTCTGTCCACCTGCRTTTATTATTTTTATCTTATCTTCAAATACTCATACTAAACATTGTATACATTTCTTGTGAGCGTTATGATTTGTATTACATTTTAAACACTACAGAGAAGTGKAATATTTTGTGATTGAAGTAACAAAAGTCTTTGTTTAAACCTTTAATATTTAAATTTTCTTTTTTTAAAAGTAAAATTTATGTACGATAAACTACAAATCACAAATAATTAAAAATTAAATGGTAAATGGACTGTACTTATATAGCGCCTTTCGATCCATCCAGGACACTCAAAGCACTTCACACTTACAGACGTTCACCCATTCACATTGTAAGCTACATTGTAGCCACAGCTGCCCTGGGGCACACTGACAGAGGCGAGGCTGCCATACACAGGCGCCACCAGACCCTCTGACCACCATCAGTAGGCAAGGCGGGTAAGGTGTCTTGCCCAAGGACACAAMAGCATGTGGCCATGGCGGGGAGTCGAACCTGTGACTTGCGGGTCCCAAAGCCGGCTGCTCTCCCACTACACCACAGCCACCCCAAAATTACTTAGCTATCTAAATTAGCTTCCTTGGCAAAGCCACCCCCCTCCAATAAACCGTTGAAAAAATAAGTAACTCTTGTATTTTTGACTTAACACTGCTGATATTATGAGTTTACAATCCGACCTGAGAGGTCGAATTAGGCTAGCTCATATTATACCTGTAGTACTATACGATGTGTATGTATGTATGTATGTATGTATGTATGTATGTATGTATGTATGTATGTATGTAT